TGAAAATTAGAAAGTATATATATATCATTAAAATTTGAACAATACAATTGTATTAAGAATTAGAGGGGTAACTTACTGTTTGGGCAGATATAAGAAATCACCTGAAAATTTAAATAAGCAGTTAGAATCAAGTATGTAATTATCATAACGATAAAGTAATTAAATACTTATCATTTAAATAGTAAAGAAATAATTGTGACCACGCTGATCAAACCGAATAAAATGTTTTACGAGATACATAATGGTTATGTAGTGAATAACTGTGGCCTTCGGCCACGGGTTATTCATATACCCACGTGCAATAACCAAATGAAAAAAGCACGGGTTGTTACATAAGACCCGTGGAATAATATATATGATATAATGATTAACATTAAACAATGCATAACGATAATACATGTTAATTGTGTAATACAGAACGTAATAATTTTAATAATTTAGTAAGCTTTAATACTGACCCGTTTGACCCAGGTTAGGTCAATTTTTGACCTGTGACCCGTCAAATTTCTGACCCATACGGGTCAACCCACCCGGGTCATAGCTCAAACTCATTGTGATACCGTGAATGAAGTCATGAGGTATCTATTTGTCACAAAAGTGTGATCCAGATTCAAGAGGAATGAATGATGTAAGTATGAAGTCATAGTAAACGACTATTTAAGGAAGAAGAAATGGAAATTAGTTCTCCCTCTTTTGTCTTTGTTGCTAGCTCGACACAAGTCTAGCTTTGTTGTAAATGCCCACCCATTTTTAATATAAAGAATTGAGGAGAAAAGGTAACAGTGTTTTTGATTAGTTATGGTTATAGATTTCAATAGTTCAGATGAGCAGTTCGGATATCATGCAAAGGGATTGGTGGCCTGACTGAACAAGTCAGATATCAAAGAATAAATGAATACGATGCTAGAAAACTAGCTATAGATCACGTGAGCAATGAGGCGAGATTCCATGTATAATTCATAGTTGATTGAGTGATGAATTAATTAAATATTCTAAATTTAGAACTTTGCCTTTATTGTTATGCGATTTTTGGATATATAGTCAAGCTGCTAACTAATTTTGATATCTCAATAATTGAATCTGCATTAGTCACTTATACGTAGTGTTTTTGAAATTAGTGTTCTCAGAGATGCTATTATAAATTTGTGCACAGTGTAAATTTTTACTGCTTATTAAAAAAAATTTTTTGGAAACAAATAATATAAAAAGAATGTATTAATATTTCGGTTTGTTATAACTAATAAAAGTAAAAACAAGTCTACTATAAAAAGTTTATTAAAACTGTCTTCTGTAAAATAATAATGGCAAATTTGCCTGGAAATTTCATGATTAATCTGTGATCAAGTCATCAAATTATATTGAATTGTAGTTAATCATAATAAATATGTAATTAAATCGACAGTTTAAGGGATAAGAAAAGATTTGAATCCGAATTTCAAACACTGGCTGTATATTCTCAACGATTCTTCTAGTGAGCACTATCAAATTTATAATTGTATCAATTTATGATCACTATTTATAAATTTGATAGTCTACTTATTATTATCGTGTTTCTTTGTCATCCTGATAAGTTATTCTCAACAAAAGAATCTCGAGCAAAAAACATTTCGCTATAGACTAGATTGCCCAGCAATATTTCTATATAATACATCTATCCATGCACTTTTTTTTAAGTCAATCTATTAGTATCCTTTTGAAAAAAAATACCACCTAGACATAGTCGTCTGTTTAAACAAAAAAGACAACCTATCAGACAACTCTTCACTAAACATAGACCAGAAGTAAAGATTATATATCATCAAGTACCATTTGGAAGCTTAATTTGTATTTCTGAAAATGAGAAAACTCAAATTAATAAAAATCCTTTATGCAATATGATTATAATCAACCCACCTCCTTCGCATGATGATTCACCATCTTCACCACCTTCGCACGATGATTCTTTGCTGCACAATGTAATTATAATCGACTTAACTGATGATTTACCTCCTTCACCTCCTTTGCACGAAGATTCTCCTCTTTCGCATGATGACTCACCTCCTTCACCTTGAATTTTTTTTAGGGGAAATTACAAATAAGGACCCAAAACTGAAAATAATTACAGATAAGGGTCTAAAATAAAAGTAATTACAAATAGAGACCCAATTTTACAAATAAGGACCCAAATATATTGTTAGTTAAAGCTAGTTTAAACATAATAGTGTCATGATTAATTAGTTGTTTTAGAATTTCTTATATCAAATTTATTAAAATGCATTATCAACGCAATTTGAATGTTACTATGCAAGCCTAATTACATATTATAGAAACTATTTAGTATTAAATAAAATACACACACTATTATCTATTTCTAAGTTTTTGACTGCATATACGTGAATTATGACTCTTTTTATTACATTTTCTGCAAGTAACTAGATTTTCTGGTGCCATTTTTCTATGACTACACAATTGAGTTTTTCGTAGTCATCCTGCTTGTTTAATTGTAGGTAGCAGCAAAGTTCATTACCAAGAATACATGATTCTGCATCAACTAGTAATGATTCTATAAAAGTTTGACAAGTTGGATCGTAAGGAATCAACTTTATTATATAAATAAACACTTGTTAGCTAAAATAGTTAAGGAGTATGAACTACTTTCATTTATAGGACAAACGGCAAGTAACTTGTTTGGCTTGTTAGTTTTAAACTTATAAGGTGAAAAAGATTTGACAGAGTAACTGTCCAAGGCTAAGCGAACATTTTTTTTAAGTTATTATTGAGAAATTATCTCTGAATCTTGAAAATTTTATAAGGATCAGTATTGATTGGCTATCATATCACATGATCAGAATTTTCTTTGCCATAGGTACTATATTTTTCACTACTACCATATATGAAAGACCGGGTCATTTCGTTTTAGTCAGTGCTACAGTATATCCATATTCTTTATGTTATGTCTATGACTAACTATTTTAATATTTATCTAGAGATAAATAAGGTTTGCTTATTTGTAATTTGCCCCAATAAACACTATTGAATCTAAATGGGTTTTATAGATTTTTGGCTTTTTCCCTCAATGAATGATAAAATTATTAATAATTTGAATGAAAGAATATGGTTAAGTTAGAGAAGTGTCAGAATAATAGAAAAAAGTTTAAATAAGAATTAGATATATATAACTAGTGTACAATATACTATGTAAATCAAAACTATGTATAGTATTATATAAAAGTCTTTTATTGAATTTTTTAGATTTTTAAATATAATAACGATAATTATTGAAACTTAAATAGATGCACAGCACTAACGGTTTGATAGTATCTGATAAAATTTCGCCGAGACATGCAGTATGTCTCTACAAGAAAAGCTATAGAGCTATTTTTTTTTTTCAAACATGAAAAATTTTTAATCTATTATTTTTCCTTAAAAAATGGCAAAAGGTAAAGATTTAATTTAATTTATTTTTTAAAGAAATGGATCTATAGTTTTGTTTATAAAGAAGTAATATTGGCCTCTGCAAAATTTCATCTAATACTTTTGAACTGTTAGGGCTATGCATCTATTTAATATTTCAATAATTATGTTATTATATTTAAAATCACTTCGCTATCTAAAAAATTCGATAATAGACTTTTATATAATACCATACATAGTTTTGATTTACATAGCAATAGTACATCGCACACCTCATAGTGTCAAGTAGGTGTTGGGTTAACAATTTCAATCTATTAAGAAAAAAAACTTATCCATTAGGTCCATTATAAATACTGCTTCCAAGTAATAAATATACATATCAGCTGATATCGTAGATAGTAATTTTAGCCGATAGTGAAAAAAATCGGCTAAAGAAATTATCGGCTTAGCCAGTCGATTTTTTTTAAAATCGGCTGATCGATTTAGTATAGTCAAAAATATGCCCTTACAAAAATTTCTGATATGGAAAATGAATGAACCTAAAATACGAGTAAAGTTAAACCAAAAATTTTTGTAAATTCCGAAAATTTCTAAAGAACAAAATTAAATAGTACAGTAGGTTTGAACAAGCCAACTAAGCTGATAAAATTTATCGGCTTGGTCATAGCCAGAAAATTAAGCTCGGCCAGAATCACTAATCGTAGGGTAGGGGCAGGGTTGGCAATAGATATACTCTATTAAGAAAATTACCAATGGAGCGAATAGAGCCCAATAGCGCTAATGGAATGAATGGAGCCAATGGAGTAAATAGAGCCAATAGCTTCTATAGAAAACTTTAACAAAACTGATGAAGAATAGGGCTCTAATCTATATCTCATATACTGATAGCTAACCTGTTGAAACAAATCAAACGGATCAATGCTATTAAAATTGGTTGGTATCCATTGGTTCTATTCAGAAATTAATCTTAATGGAGCAATATCAATGGGGAGGGGATGAGCTCTATAGTAAGCTGATTTCAGTTAATATCTAACACGTCCTTTATATAACATATGGTTGTTTTGTTTGGTCCAACTGAGATATTGATATATATTCTTAAACTAGTTTTTAGCATGCATATATTGTTTCTTCATAATAGTTGTGCTAACTCTTTTTTTTTTGTCTAGTTCGTTTGAGATATTAATATTACATTCTAAACTAGTTTTAACGCATGTACTAGAAGATAGAGCGTGTTATTGTTTCTTTATAAAAGTTGCGCCGACTCTTTTTTTTTTTGTCTAGTTCGTTTGAGATATTAATATTATATCCTAAACTGGTTTTAACGAGTGTACTAGAAGATAAAGCGTGTTATTGTTTCTTCATAAAGGTTGCGCCAACTCTTTTTTTTTTTGTCTAGTTCGTTTAAGATATTATATTATATCCTAAACTAGTTTTAACGCGTGTACTAGAAGATAGAGCGTGTTATTGTTTCTTCATAAAGGTTGCGGTGACTCTTTTTTTTTTGTCTAGTTCGTTTGAGATATTAATATTACATCCTAAACTGGGTTTAATGCATGTACTAGAAGATAGAGCATGTTATTGTTTCTTTATAAAGGTTGTGCTGACTTTTTTTTTTTTGTCTAGTTCATTTGAGATATTAATATTACATCATAAACTGGTTTTAATGCGTGTACTAGAAGATAGAGCATGTTATTGTTTCTTCATAAAGGTTGTGCTGACTCTTTTTTTTTTGTCTATTTCATTTGAAATATTAATATTACATCCTAAACTAGTTTTAACATGTTTAGAAGATAGAGCATGTATATTGTTTCTCTGTAAAAGTCATTAATTGTTGGGTTATTAGTGTAAAAATTTGTGCTCTAAATAATATAAAAAAGATCAATAATTTTTTTTGGTCCCAAAATTTTATCAAAAAATTTTTAAAATCATTATCTTCAAATATAAAAATTAGTAATTAACTTCACGGCTGTGAACAAAATGGTTAAAACGCGAGAGGCACCAGCTTAGGCTAAGCTCAGAGATACAATTGTTTAATTAAGTAAAGAGATACGGCAGCTTAATGCCTTGGAAAATAGAGGAATGAATACTAATACTGATAGTGAGAACAAGGAAAGAATTCAAGCCGAATTAGATTCATCATTAAAAACATTAAATAAATTAGAATATCAACAACAATATCATAAAAGATAAAGAAATCAGCAAAAACAAAAACTCCAACAAGTAGAAAGACAATGTAAAGAAGCGGGTCTTAACATGTAGCTCATAAGGCCAACAGTTAGTCGTCCGCGTTTAGAAGAAATGCAACTAGGTTTATTAGAAGTCATTCTTTGTATTGTCTCTCCAGATAGGCAGGCAGATGAGAGATGACATTCAGAGACATTACGATCTGTTAAAACCTTGGATCAACTTCAAGAAGCACTAGAGCAAATGAATTATAAACTATCACACTCTGCCGCATACCTTAGACTTATTCCAAAATGGCATAATACCATAGAAGGAAAACATCATGTTAAAACTGTACCAGTGAAGCTTCTAATGGCACAGAATATATCAAGAAGAGCATATGAAAATACCCGATTCTGTGCTGCTTTGATAAGAAATATCAAAGAAATAGTGTCATTATTAGATCCCAGAAATGTTTTAGTAGTATCCCGAAATGATAAAGTACAAATACCTCTTGGTTTAGCTGCGGCAAATAAACAAGGTTGTAATAAGACCAACAAATTAATTTTATATAACCTAATTTTTAAAAAAAAGCAAAATTTACTAATAATGAATAATATACTTATCATATGGGCAGATTTACGAAATTGGACCTTTTTTAAGGCCCGAAATTTATATGTAACTAACTATTAGCTGATCATTTTGTACCCCCAAAAAAATAAATAAAAATTACAAAATTAATACAAATGAAAATTTTATATATAAAAATACGCGTCAAACCAATTGTCTGTCCCCGAAACCAATTGTAACCTTTTGGTAATTGCGTAAGTAAGGGTAATTATTGTAGCTATTATAATTTTAGTTTGCTTAATACTTTGTATCTTCATTAATTTAGATTTTTGTTATAGTGACGATTCAAGCACGATCCAGGAATGACAAGTGATGATTCAAGTAAATTTTAATTTTCAAAATATTATTTATTCATACTACATAGTAATACTAAAATAACTTAAGACTTGGACAGTTAGGAAAAAGCTGCCGTATTGTGTGTACTGGCTTTACTAAATCTTGATCATTGTTGCTATCACGGAGTTGCTGTTGAAAGAGTCTGTTATATCAAGAGTTATAAGGTAGGTTTAACTTTTGACAACTATAATTTTAAATACAGTGAAACTTCTTTAAATGATCTCACGGAGACCACAAAAACGCATTTATAAGGTGAAGTATATATTTGTGCCAGAATGAGAATACATTTAAAAGAGGTTGCAATATATTATATGATTGCATTCGATAAATTTCTTTGACTTATTTATTCGCTTCATTAGATCCCAGGTTTCGCCTTTAACTAGGAGATTTAGAATTTCGCCAGGGTTTTGTTCTTCGTGAGGATTTTGCAGGATCTCGTCTTTTGTCAGGGAGATTTAGAATTTCACAAGGGTTTTATCTTTCATCAGAAGATTTAGAATTTTACCAAGGTATTACCTTTCATCACCACATAAAAAAAGGGTCGTTTTAATTTTACTAACAGCAGCTATTTATCTATTAGCATTTGATTACTAGGTGATAACACCTTTGACCTCTGACGTAAAATCGGTACCTTCGTTTTATTATAGCCAGTGCTGACATAAAAGGTAAAATTAATAGTGCTGGAACTTATACTGTTACAAAATCTTATAAGAAAGATACAAAGTTCCATTAGAGAAAATATTCATATTTGTATCCATAACAGTAATATGTTTTTATTTATAGTGTATAAGTCTATATATATTATTATTAAAATAGTTTTATTTTTATATCAACTTAGTACATAAAAAATGAACATTACTTCGAGCTCTACTTTACAACAATGTTTTATGT